ATCAGGGCTGGCTCACCTATAGCCTCTTATTCCCCACAGCGCCGAGACCTCCACAGAGAATCCGGCGATCCGTGATATTTATGCCAAAGCTCTCAAGCCCTTCCCAAACCGTCAACACCCCAGACCGCCTTGAATCCCCAAATCCCAACAATCAGCCCCTAATGTGTCGAGTCGAGCGGCAGGGGCTTCTCGGATTCATCCAAGAGCAATGCTCCGTGGAGGAACCGAAGGGGCAGTGGACACGGAAAGCGTGGGTGGTTTCAGGGCCTCGGGTTCAGCGTGCGGCTGTAGGGGCTTGTTGTGAGAACGCTCGGGTTCTTCTGGCAGGACTTGGGCAGATGTTCTTGGCTTTCATGGGCTGGAGGTACTGCATCATGGTTGAATGATAGCATGAGGGCCATGAGGGTTGCTGGTATGATACGGAGCCTTGTGCTCAGGGCACTTCAACAGGGACTATGATGTTGGGGACATGCCCATTGTGCAAACTCACGGAAGCCCCACCTGTCCAAGCAACTCTGAGACTCGTTTGCTCTCGAGGTTCCACGTGCCCAGAGGTTTAGGGTTCAGGGTGTTCCAGCCCGCGCCCCCACCACATTGCAAAGCGTAAGCTGTGCTCAAGAGACCCTAATCCCCGGAACCAAGCCCCCGACAGGACACTACCGGTCCGGATCTCCTCGGCGTTCCTCAGTCGAATTACGGGTGGAGCTTCGGCTCGGGTGGCAAAAGGGGTTTGGTGACAGTTGGCGCAAGGCTGAGGATCTCTTAGACCAGTACCCTCAATCCTGTAGACGTAAAAAGCCTACAGTGGATTGATGGTTTTGAGGTCAGACGCTTGCATCCGGGACTGTTTGTTGTACCACCCCTGCTACCAGTAGCAGGCATTAGCCCAACGTTGCACCTTTCGCTTTCGCGTTCTGGTTCCCCAGCTGAAGTTTGACTACGATGTTTTTGACATTTCCAGTGGAGGGTCCTCGAGGCACAGAAGACAGTGAAAAGGCGTTACAAAGCGGGGAAAACTTGTGCCATTCTGAGGCTGTGCTGAAAGCTCACTTCACGCGGGAGCAGTGCTGCGTGAGTATGTTGCAGGCAGGGTTGCTTTGGAGTCCGGAGACATGTCGGACGCCCGACGAGGCTTTCCCGCCTGTTTGAAGACTGCAGGCGCAGGTCATGAAGCTGTCGAACCTCCTGAAAGAGTACAGCAGCAAGTTGCGGATCAAGGAGCCACAGCCCTAAGCTTGCTCTGAACCTGAAACCCTTGGCCCAAGGCTTTTGAGCCTCACAGCCCGGCACCCTTCAGCCCTAACCGGTCAGGAGCATGACGAGCTGGATGCCTGTTCCCAGAAGACCCCGAACTGGGAGAAGGAGGTCATCATGCAGCTTGCACCAAGACCGGGGCAATTTTGAGTTTAGGGTTTAGGGTTTAGGGTTTAGGGTTTAGGGTTTAGGGTTTAGGGTTTAGGGTTGGGAGTTCAGCCAAGAAGAGGGTCTTCCTTCAAGGCTACGCCCTCAAGTCTCTGGCTTTACATGACTCCCCGGTTGACCGCATAGAGGGGTTGCGCGGCAATCCAGTGGAAGCCCCATTGTGTCTCCCATTCCTCCACCCCTGGCTCCGAATTCTCTGGAGCCCCAAAGGCAGAACCAGCATATTACATGGAACGATGACTCAAGCCTGTTAAAATTCCTCATAATTATCAGCTGCCGCTGGCAGCTGATTCAATGGGATTGTGCGGGGAGGCCACTAGAAGGTTCCGGGGCTCGTTTTCTTCATGCTTCAGTTCCTGCGGGCTTAAAGAGAGGTCCACGTCACGCAGGTAGTGTGGTCACGAAGCCCGAAGCCTGAAACCCATGAGCTCCAGAAGAGTCCCAGGATCACGGAGCGCTACGACCTGCCACTCAACTTCCAGCTGAATTGCCGGTTCATGATCGAGGAGCAGGCCAGGCTCTTGTAACGGCCCCTAAACCCTAAACCCTAAACCCTAAACCCTAAACCCTAAACCATAAACCCGAAACCCTAAACCCTAAACCCTAAACCCTAAACCCTAAACCCTAAACCCTAAACACTAAACCCTAAACCCGCAACCCTAAACCCTAAACCCTAAACCCTAAACCCTAAACCCTGAACCCTAAACCCTAAACCCTAAACCCTAAACCCTAAACCCCAAGCCCCAAACCCCAAACCCTAAACCCTAAACCGGTGAACCTCAGGGCTCGGGGTCTTTTCAGATGTCGCGTGGCAGATGGGAGTGAGTTTTTGTTTCCCGACATAGGGTCACGGACCAAGACTTCCGATCCTCCGAAAGCTCAAGCTCCTAAACCCCTAGAAGGGAGCCCAGTCGGGGTGGGGAGGGGAGGAGGGGGGAGGAGGGGGGAAGTTAGGTTCCTGTGGCAAAGACGGATGCCCTTTCTAGCCCTAGAGCGCGAAAGCGTGACGCGGATTCAAGGTTCAGATCATTGCGTCTAGCGGACTGGGTTGCGGGGGTACTTCTGGGGTGCCAGTGGGTGCCTGGACCCCTACGAGTTTAGTTAGTTGTCTGGGTTGGATTTTGGGACATTCTTTATCTTCCTTATTTGGGTTTATAAGGGACCCTATATATAAATAGCTTTTAGAGGGTTTAACGGCCAACCCAGTTGTTGCATTTTGCATATCATCAAACTAGATGACACAGTAGAAGCAGTTGATGCGGTGCTCCCCAGGACGTCGCCCTGTGCCACCAGTCGCTGTGCCCACTGCCGACGTCCGTGTGCAGCCCGCAGATGTCTGAAAAGATGGCCCCTCACCTGCACAAGTCGTGTTGTCAAAGGGCGCAAGGCTGATTGATGTCGCCACAGCCTCTTGTGCGCTTTCTTGTCTGATTCTGCAACGTCTTCCTGTAAACCGCCCAAGAAGTCCCCAGGCATCTCTGGCAACTTGAAAGTATTGTGCACTTCCAACGTACATTCGTCGTGAGCTGTACATGGATCAAAGTCGTGCAGTCCTTGTGGGGTGCTGAGTTGTGCAAAGTCTTCCAAGGGTTCATCATGCTGAGTTGTGCAACGTCTTCCGAGGGTCTATCGGTTAGGGTTTAGGGTACACCCAGGCAGTGGGGGACAGCCTGAAACCCTGAAATGTGGGTGTGGGGGTGGCTCGGGGGCCTGCGAACTTGCGGGAGGTGAGCGTGGACGAAGACACCGTCGTTTCTGAGCAAGGCCCCGATTGCTGTTGAGGGGCCCGCGGGGGATGTTATGTGGCCTGTAGGGCTTAGGGGCCTTAGGGCCTGGGTTGTGTAGGGCTTTGGGTGTGAGAAGGGCTGTTGAGGATCCGGCTGCCATTGGGTCGTTCAGCTGGTGCTGGTACTTCTGATTCAGTTGCCTCTCAAGGGCTTCCCCCATCGGGTGGTGCTCTACGCCGCAAGCATCCTAGATGCCACATCGGCAGAGCTGAGTCTCCCACCAAGGTAGAAGAACACCTCTTGGGCCCTGAACTGCACATCCCTAAACCCTAAACCATCCTAAGCTCTAAAGATCCCTGAGCTTGGCCCCGAAGCCCCCAACCCTGGACCTCATGTGGCGACCCCTCGGAGACCCCTGACCCAAGCGTTTTGAACCGCTGCAGGCGCCTTCTTCGAGTCCCTCTTCCGCCGCCTTCCGCCGGTGCAGAGCAAAAGCTTCCAGCAGCTGCGCCTCGGCAAATGTGAGCTTGGCTTTACTTGGACGTTCATGGGTAGTTAAAAGTAGGGCTATTAGGATTATAAGTATAATGGCCATACTGATCAGACTTATCACCCTACTTTTAGCTACCCATGAACGTCCAAATAGGGGGGCTTGAGGTTTAGGGTTGTCAGGGTACTTGACCATTGCGAAATGATGCCTTACTTTTCATAAACACAGTCTCTTAGTGAACGTGGTCCCAGAGTCGCACAACCTTCACTCTCAAGATTTTGGGGATACTTTCGACTGCGCCTTATAGGAGTTGAAGGTTAGAAACCCTGAGCCCTTCACCCTACAGTCCCGGGAGGCGAGAGGAGTGCATCGTCCAGCGCCAGCAGCTGATGAGCGCCGAGGAGAACCTCCAACTGGTCAACGACCTGGACTCCGCGCTCGGCCCTCGGCCATCGGGTTTTTGGGTCTTGGGGGCTGCAGGCTTGGGGCTTAGGGTTCTTAGGACCGCACCTCCTTGACCATATTTATGTATCCCGCGGCCCAGGTGTTGAGCAGATAAACCTTCAGCCTTTTGGGGTGTGATCAAACAACCTTCAAACCCAAAGGTTAACCTCTCTCGCCAGCAAGAGGAAAGGCTTGTATCATCCCAAACCGTGTGTCGACACTAGGGGTTCCAACGTTTAGAGTAAGAAGGGCGAGGTCGGTTGCACCGTGTGTGGTGCACGCCGGCGGCTCGCGCCGCCCGGACCATGCTTTTGTCAAAGCCTGCTTGCATGTTGGACGAAAATTGTGCTCCGGCCTAGGCGCGGGCGTGGCCACCCCCCGTCCTGGAAACTGACATCCCTATTGAATGTCGGTGCTCGCGAAGTGCAAAGCTGTCGTCGCTTTTGGTGCTCGCGAAATGCGAAACCGGCGTCGCTTGTGGACTTCTGGGCTCATGGTGTCTCTTGGACGTCCCCTCTTGATCCATTGGAATGCTCCGTCATCTCCACTGGTCTCTCACAGTTTGGGGTCCACGCCGGCATAAGGGGACTCCCAAGTCTGCATATCCCAGCTACCGATCGACTCATTATCAAGCCCGCCTTGATCTTGTGGACGCTGGGCAGACAGGGTGCCCAGTGCCGAATCTCAATGAACGTGCAAAGGAAAGGTGTCCGCAAGCGTTTGCGTGCTCAAGAGTGCAGGGGCAACGACTGATCAGTGTATTCGGTGACGATGAGCCTGGGAGGCGTCAGCAAGCTTGTTTTTTTTGTGCAGAGGAGAAGGATTCAGTTGAGACGTGAATTATAGAACCCCTCAGGCCAACAGACTGGGGGAAGGAACGTAACCTACTGCACGTCGCGTAGTCGCCATGAGCCAGGATGTGGCGCTCGCCGGATATGCGTAGCTCTCAAAGGGTACTGTCAGGCTGTTTGCTCATGATTGTGAAATCCCTGGCCTTTGCCAGGAATCTCTTGACCTTCATCATCGCCGTCGTCTTCTTGCCGATCAGGTCAGTGACGAGCTTCAACATGTTCGGGACGAAGCTCCCTCGGAACTTCATTGACCATTACGAACATGCGGGTGGAAAAGATCCTTTGCACCTCAGATGAGTATGGCAAGCTTTCTCGTCAATGTCGAAGCTCTAGGACATTTGGCCAAGATGTTGAAGGATCTACGTAGATCAAGACATAGATGCCCAAAGAAGAGGGCTGCGTTGTCACCACCTGAAGTTCTAGCCGGAACCATTTCCCAACCTGCCTCCAGCATTTCCACTTGCAATGTCACTTTGGTATAGGCGCTGGGCTTACATCCTTGCTTGAGGTGATGTAGGGGTCAGCTTCAAGGCTAAACCCTAAACAACCATTATGAATCTGGGACTGGTGAGAAGTTATTTTTGTTTGCCAGGAGCAAGGATCAGCTTCAGAAAGATTTGGAGCACCTTCATCAAGCCGCAACTCACTTGCAGGATCTCGCAGAGGCTAGACGTATGGCTTTCGTAATCGCGTATCCAGTGACAGACCCCAAAGGACATGCTTGTGTTCAACTCCCGAAGCACTTTGTCAGTCAAGCCATGGTTGTCTTGCGTTTCTTCTGCACATGTCTCCTGAGCACTATCGTCACAAGAAGTAAGGCTCAACAAGGCTTCATGCTGGCAACTCCGCAAAAGGCAGCTCTGCTTCCAGTGGGCCTTTTTGAAAGGACTTCATCGTCTCTCATGGTGGTGCAAGAAACAGTGAAAGAGATGGGCGTGTTGCAAGGCATGGCTACAGTGTTCTCGGGTCTTCTCGACGCGGAGAAGAAGCATGAGGACATGCAAGAGCAAGAGCTTGGGAAACTTGAGGAGTTGACACGGAGTGCTGCGCAAGCGGCAGAGTCGATGCAAAAAGACAGGCAGAAGATCCTTGACCAGCAAAAGATGCTGAGCCAGCAGCAGAAGGAAACCCAGAAAAACATTGACGAGAACCGCCGCCAAGAAGCGGATCTCCAGAAGAAGAGGGATGCTGGGCCGATGCGAATCGCACGTTGCAGTGTTGTAGTCGTGGTGTAGTCGTCAAGCGTAGCTGATGTGGTGGACTGCGAGCTTTACCGTGTGGAGCAGTTGCATGCAGGCTTGCTGTTGCGTCAAGAGTCTAGACTCGCAAACAAACCGCTACTTGGCTGGGGGCATGTGGTGGTCCTGCTTGAACTTGAACTGAGGAAGATCTCGAGAGGTTACGGGTCCAAGAACAGGAAGCCCGAAGAAAGTTGCAAGAGGAACAGCGCCGATCATGGTCCTTTTCTGCCCGCGGTGATCCCATTATTTGCCCTGAAGACTCCGAGGGCAATCTTGCTGAAGAGTTCTGCAGGGACTACAAAGGGCCTGCGACAGTGATGTGCTTCTCAGTCGATGTTTGATTCGTAGGTAAAGTTGACTGTGGGAGGTTCACTGCCGATGTGGCTGTTGCTACTGTGATGGTGAGGGCGATGGTGTGTGTTGGCCGGCTTCGTTTCCTGCGTGGCTCGCAATCTGCAAATACACGCACACACACACAAATGCACGTACATAGATACATAGATGCATATAGATATAACATAGGTAAACATATATATATATATATGTTCATCCCCGCTTGAGGTGTTTTGTTACTAGGTATGGTAATTGTATGAACTACTTGTTCTTGCCTCCAAAAACTGTGGGGGGGGGGGGGGAGGGGGGAGGTGACAGTGAGTGTGGGTGGTAGGTCCGGGACGAGGCTCAATTCCATTCATGATATTGAGTATCTGATTATGCATATTTACTACAACTTTTAGTATCATTTGCAGGATGATGTGTGTTCAGTATCTGAACACGATTATTCTGCGGCCTCGCGTAAGTTACGCAATAATATACCTGAACGCTTACAGAGCAGTTTGTGTTTAGAGAAATTGTTATAGGACTTCTACTCATGATCTTAAATATAATCACGACATTAACGCCATGAGTCGAGACATTCATTAACTGCTTCTTATTAGCATTATTCTAAATGAGTTTACTTATGTGAATGTAATATCTGTTCAGTATACTAGTGTTATCATTTATCATTGCTATCGTTTTGCTTAATATCCCTATTAGTTACATTTGCCCTAGAACACAACATTAATGTTAATCAAGCGCGAATATGTTATGAGTGGGTACTAGTTCGGCTCCTAAGCCTCAGAAATAGCTTTATACACATGATTACACTGACGCTTTTGATGCATATTGCTACTAATTCCGTTGTGTGTTTTCCTTTGTCGACTTCTTACCACGGTTGAAGATTCTCTGCCTGTTTCTTCATGCATCTGCAAAGCGGGCAATTTCTGGAGTTCAAGCCTGTTTTCGAAAGTGGGTGAAACCTTTTGCCAGGAAGTCCTTGGAAACTTCGAGCCCCTTGTGTAGACCAGTGAGACGCCTGTCAGCCCGCCAAGCGAAAGACCCTTCCTGGCGAGCCCGCCACCTGCGAAACCTTCCGGGAAATCCTGGCTGAAGCGTAGCGAAATGTGGCCCCAGTGGTGCTTCAGCTATATACATGCTTCGAAACCCAAATATTTAACAGGGCCCGCTGACAGGCTTGTGTTGGGCTGCACAAGTTCAAGCCCCGTCGCATTGGTCCCCATAAGGTCGCGAAGTTTCGAAAGGCTTTCTGGCAAATTCTATCTTGAATGTTTGAACAGTTTGGGAGTTAGAGTTATTAGGCTAATTTGCAACAGACTTCGTTCACACAATTTAGTTCAACTTCCTCCAGCAGAAATGCATCACGCAAGTTCAAGTTATGAAAAGCACTTGCCAAGAGAATCAGGTTCGCGCGGGAGTGTCCGACTAGATGTGCGAAAAACTAAAGGGCCCTCATAAAGGACCCAAACGGCTATGTAGGGGCATTGTTGGACTACATAGGCGATAAGCACTCTACCAGGTGAATATGATCTAAGCCTCGTTTTACCAAAAATCGCGGGCTCTGGATTCCCGTATTTGCAGGTCTCAGGTTATCGGATGGCCGGGTTTCGAACCAGGAGATCTTAATTACATGTGGAGAACATGCAACGGTTGATGTTGAACTCATCATCCATGAAAGTAATGTCGTAACGCGTGGAATCTTTCAGGCTTCGACCGGGTTGGTAACCTGCAAAGCATTGACTTCGTGGGCGTGTGTGACGAGAACGGTCAACATTGTCAAACTCCAGATGCGTGGTGGGTCGGTGAGCAGTGGAGGTTCACTGTGGCCAGCCGCAGCTGGAAGTACCGGAACGTAAGTGGACAACATGTCGCCGATGTCTCCTGTGCTGGAAATTGGAGGCTCGACAGCAGACATGATTTTTGTTTTCGTCTTGGCATCAACTCGTGCAAGCCCCGCTCTTGTTGCAAAAACACTGTGATTTTGTCATGGCATGCGCGCAACACTTTCGTTATCCAATCATGTAAGGACGTCCGAGTCACAACCTTCAGCCATGCCAGAGGCTGAGTGGCTCAGTGCCTTCCGTGGGGGGCACAGCTTCATGCTCGGCAGCCGCGCATCAGTGATGGGCCCTCCTTCGACTTCGTCTGGCGCGCGCTGATGGACGAAGACAACTACATGTTTCCTTGCCGGGATTTGTGGCAAGCTTGACGCACAAACTCTTGGAACCATTGTTCCCATGATTTCGGTCTAGACTTGACCCTAAGTTCATCCCAAACATCAAGATTTTTATCAAGGTTCGATTCCGACCACGTGGGTCAATGGATCAATGCGATGTTGATGACCCATGGACATGCTTGGCAAGTTGGCTACCAGCATGAGACGGTGACACGCTTGGCACAGTATGCCGTTTTCTATGGCCTAGCGGCGAGTCGCAAAGGCCTATGACAGGCTGTGAGTTGCAGCCTCTGACACGTGATTTTTTGATCCCTTTGTTCGCAGACAGATGTTGATGTCACAGAGTGAGGGGAAAATTGCCTCTGCTGCATGAGCTTCAGTCTTCTTAACTACCTGCCATGCGTGAACCGCTTCGTCTAGCCTGGGCCATGTGGTAGGCTAGAGTCCGTATCATCCATCATTCCTGTCTGGCCGAGACTCAGACAAAGTTCTGCGCTAGAGCTGCTTGCGTGTTCAACGAGGCCTTTGTCACACGTAGCCGAGTTAGCTGCAGCAGAACAATTCCTGAGACACCAATATGCAGTCATGTGAACACCCACAAGCGGCTCTGAATGCATAGGATATCTTGGGCCCGAAGCCCTGAACCCTAAACCCTAAACCCTAAACCCTACAAACTCGTGATCCGGGGAGTGCTTCCCCTAGCCCTTCCATGCTCAGGGTGCAGCAGATTACCGAGCTCATCGACGTCAGCGCCGAGCCAAAAGAGCTCCTGGACACCTTGGCGGAGCGGGTGGCGGGCCAAGAGAGGGTATTGAATGGTTTCCGTGCCTTAAAGCGTGGAATGCCTTGCAGCTTCAGCAGGTTTTGAGGGCTCAAAGGGCTTGGGATCGCCAATTGACATGCAGAGCTTTTTTGATCATCGCAACCTCTTGTCCTTACCAGCACTTGCTCCTGTTCCGATAGTGGCCTTTTCTGCTGCCAGGGCCCATTTTCGACTTGTTTGTAGCCAAGTGCTTTGCACCCTGAACCCAAGCCGGAAAAAACTGACTTCGAGCTAGTGGAGGTACGCTCCCGCCAACGACGCTTCCGCTACCTCGAGGTGGTTGAGAGGTGCTCATTGCTTTGCTTGGGAACTGCTGGGCATGAATTTGTGGAGAGGAATGAACTTGGCCTTCACAGCATAAAGCTCTCCTTGAAAGTAGTTGTCTCTGCAGGCGGAAGGTCGGATTGCCATGTGGCGTTCCTTGTGAGTAGAGGTTCTGGATGTTGTAGTTCTGCCAGTGGATTTGAAACCAACAAATGTCTAGACACCCAGATCCAAACGAAGAAAGAGCTGTCCATCGCAGCTCAGGGCTCCAGAGTTCACAGCTGTCCGGGCATTCAGAATCTTGCAGCATCCATGAGAGCAAGATTGTGCAGGAACATTAAGACGACGATCGCTGCAAAGTTGCAGTATCAGCAGGACTGATGTTTGTTGAGGGGCTCGGTGGCTTTCAAGCTTGGCCTCGTGGTTTGGCACTGTTGTTTGAAGGTCAAGTGTTCATAGCCTTTGACACAAGGGTTGAGGAGAAATCCGTAGGGATCTTGAACCCCAAGCCCTAAACCCTAATCCCCAAAACCCTAAACCCTCTAAACCCTAAACCCCTAGATCCCTGAACCCCAACCCCCTAAGCCCTAAATCCCAAGATCCCTAAACCCTCTAAACCCCTAAGCCCTAAGCCAAAATCCTTAAACCCTCTAAACCCCTAAACCCTCAACCCCTGAACCCCTAGATCCTCTGGACCCCTAAACCCCAAAATCCCTACACCCTCTAAACCCCAAACCCCTAAGCCCTAAACTAAACCCCCTAAACCCCCTAAACCCCCTAAACCCCCTAAACCCCCCAAACCCCCTAAACCCCCTAAACCCACTAAACCCACTAAACCCCCTAAAACCCCTAAAACCCTAAACCCTTCCCTTCTAAACCCCTAAACCCCAAAATCCCTAAACCCCAAAATACCCCTAAACCCCCCAAAAAGAAGGAGCTGAAGAAGGCCGCTGTCGAGCTCAAGGGCGCCCTGGGCCCGGCCCTCAAGCGCCACCTTTTTTGGTGTTGGGGCTTAGAGGGTTTAGGGCTTGGGATGTAGGGTTTAGGGTATAGGTTTAGGGTTTAAGGTTAGGGTTTGCAGGGTTTTGAGGCGTTTAGGGCTTGGAGGGCTTTCGGGTTTCAGGGTGTCAGGCCTTATGGGCCGAAGGTTCAGGGGGCTTGTGGGTTTAGGGTTTGGCGGAACCCTGGCCCGTATGGTGGGGAATGCAAGACATGGCAAGAGCTGTTTCAGCTTGTCCCGCAGATTTCTCCTTGACCAAGAAGCTTCCGCCGACCCTGCAGAAGGCGGGCAGTCCGGCAGTCTTTTCTACAAATTTCTTGAAAACACCGAAAAAATAGAAAATATTCTTCCTTATTAACGGTGATATACGGATTGTTATGTTTCATTCTTTTGGGGTTCTTAAGCAAATAGTAGTTTTGAGGAAGCTTCGAAGTTGGAGTCCATTAGGGATTCCATGACCCCTTTCAGGTCTGCCACGGAACATAAGCTTTGAACCCCCTAAACCCTAAACCCTAAACCCTAAACCCTAAACCCTAAACCCTAAACCCTAAACCCTAAACCCTAAACCCTAAACCCTAAACCCTAAACCTTAAACCCTATACCCTAAACCCTAACATGTTTCGAGCCCTCCCGGGTCGGCCGAAGAGCCCTTCGCTGGTTTCCCTTGCGTCCCTGACATAATTCCCATGCCCCGCAGGCTTGCAACGCGAGCAACGTGGCTTGGCTCAACTCCGGACCCGACTCGGAGCCAAAATCTCCGATGATGTGGTTATCTTTTTGGTTTTTGTGTTATATGATAATGTTGTTCGTTCAGTTATTATGTTCTTATATATTTATATGAGTAGATGTTATATTGGTGCTTTTATGATTTCAGGATATCATGATATTGCTAGATTACATATTCCTATTCCTATATTTCATTCTATTCTTATATTGTTGCATGTTTTGATTATACTATCGTCTTCTTATATTTTTGTGTAGTATTACTAACATCTCTATGATATTCTTATGTATTGTTACATTTTACTCTTTGATATGACTCTATAGTTGTATATTTACATTCTTTTCTTTTTGAATTATATAGAACATCATTATATGGATTCATGTTTTTAGCCGCATCTCAGAAAGGTGGTTGTGTGGTCCCTTGATGCGGTCCCTTGCCTTCTTTAAAGGATTCTGAAGTATGGGCCCGTGTAGCATCTAGGTGGGGCCTTCCAAAAGTGCTTCAGGCCGGAAAGAGGGCCGAACCACGCCTGGGCTCTTAGCAAAAAAAAGCAACAAACCAGTCGAGACCCACAAGTTCGCGCAGAACTCCGGCCAACGTTTTACCGTATACATAAACCCTCTACCCGACACCCTCAGCACCCCTAAACCCTAAAACGCACAGAAGTTGTTTCAGGGCACCGCCATCGACTGGCCCTGGACATATGTTCTAAAGGCCCTTAGAAGGATGTACTTGGAACAGGGAATCCCTTAGAAAAAGGGAACCTGTTTGGGGTCATTTTGAGACAGGTATGTTGAAAAGTTGCCCGGTCCCCAAATCGCATGTCAACAGCCCTTAAACCCTGCATGAGCCCGAAACCCTAAACCCGAAACCCTAACCCTTAACCCTAAACCCTAAGGGCCAACCTTTCCCCGAACAACTCCGATGTACACCCGAAACCCTAAACCCTAAACCCGAAGCTCTCAGGTGACGCCCTTCTTCCAGGCCCTTGGGCGACGCCTCGAGGCTGGGCCCTTGTGGGCTTGGCCTCCCTGGGTCCGGAGTTTCGGGGTGGGGGGGTTTAGGGTTTAGGGTTTGGGGTTTGGGGTTTAGGGTTTAGGGGTTTAGGGTTTAGGGTTTAGGGTTTAGGGGTTCTGGTTTAGGGCTCATGCTAGATATGGGTCTGCTTGAAGGGCATGCCATGGCCTGGCGAAGGGCTTTGGAGATTTGAAGGCTTCAGCCTTGCCAGGTTGGGGGCGCCTGGACGTTGTGTGATGTCATGCCCCCTAAACCCTAAACCCTAAACCCTAAACCCTAAACCCTAAACCCTAAACCCTAAACCCTAAACCCTAAACCCTAAACCCTAAACCCTAAACCCTAAACCCTAAACCCTAAACCCTAAACCCTAAACCCTAAACCCTAAGAAGGTTTCGGGTTTGGAAGGTTGATTCGGAGGATGCTTTTAGGGTTTGGCTGTCTCAGCGCCTCGCGGGCCGCATCCCTCAGCCCGAAAGCCCAAGCCCGAAATCCTGCAACGAAATCTTGTCGTCGCATCCGACATAGGCGGCGCCGCCGATCGTGGATCTGAAGTTCTGGGCGGATGAGTCGGAGAAAATGTGTGCTGCGCTTTGTGACGCCAGATGAGGGGCTCAGGGAGGATCTCGTACATTCTAAGCAGAAGAATGCTGTGCATGTAAGTTGATGTTTACTATGTTAGCCTATGTGGTTCTATGCGTGGTTTGGATTCGCAGATTGTGCACAGGCATCCCGGTACACTGCAGGGATGAGTGGGGAGGGCGTTGTAGGAAGCCCCCCTTCAACAGCTGGGCCGACAGCGTTCTTAAGCTGTGGTGGCTGCACAGCCGCATTAGGGTATACTGTAGTGGACAACATGGAAAGACCACAGTATTTGCTACAGTCACTTGTAAATCTTTCCATTCAGAAATGAGTCTTCTAACCAACAGTGCAAAGGCATCTGGTTCTTTGCAAAGCTCTTTGTAAGTGCTGGGTACCCTTAGCCTTAACCACTTTCGCCGGGTTTTGTTTTCAAACAAGTCTTCAATCCTTGCAGAACTGCCAAGTGTGCCAGAGCGATGACAGCGTGTCCTGGTCCATGCTCTCTTGAGCTACATCTGGGAAGCATGAATTCGCTGCCACTAGTTTTGCACGCCAACATAACGTTCAGCAGTATGTTCAAGAACGCGCTAGTCTTTAAGCCCTCCAGAACCTTTCGTACATGTAGATTCTACATAAACAATGCCAAAGTAGCATTCAAATCTCGACAGAGACGGGTGACCCACCTTTGGACCCTTTTAGGCTGCAGCGATTGCAACATTGAACTACATGCTCTCTCTTTGTGGTATCTGCTTGGATGAGGTTTTTGTTTGGATATCTCGTTTACGGCACCAGTGTCGGAAGTTGGAAGATCACGTCCTGAACAGTTTTCTCGTAGAAGGGCATTCTGCACCCATGGGCAGGGGGTATTACAGCTCTGCATCAATCTTGTCGTAGGTGTAGGAGCTCACACCATTGTCGTGGTCTTTTCGGGTTCGCAAGCATTGGAAGAAGGGCAATGCTGGTGTCGGCCCAAGTTAATTTGCGCAGATCTGGGGTCAGACCAAAGCCATTATGCCGCCATTGATCTTTGCGCTTGTTGGCAAGACGGGACACGGCAAGAGCATGACAGCCAACTCACTGTCAGCCTCAGACCATTTCTTGGCCGATGATGGTTTCGAATCGGTCACAAGAGACATCAGCTCTCTGCTGTATACAGTTGAGAGTGGGCAGCAGTTTCTGTGCTTGGATATGCCGGATGTTTGTGATACGAGGTTGGCTTTGCCAGAGCGGGACACCAGGATGTCGAAGTTGGCACTCAAGGCGCCATATGGCCTTGATGCGCTGGCCTTCATCATCCGCAAGGTCCGCATGACAGAGGAGGAGTTCACATCCATATCACAGATGGAGGCGCTCTTCGGTTCGGATGTCTGGAAGCATGCCATCTTTGTGTTTACACACTGCGCAGCCACTTCAGCAAAGTTGGAGGCAGACCTGGCAAAGCTGGGAGAAGAGCACATCCTAAACAAGGCCATTCAGAAGGCCAACGGTAGAGTCGCCAAAATCGACAACAA